TATCAACATGGGACCAGGCATTACTGCGTAACGGTCCGAGTTGCCACAGCTCATATCACTACATCAAGTAAAAGGGCAGTGAGGTGCAAGGTGAAGATAAGAGAATGCCGTCGAAAGAAATATAAAGTAACAAAAGAGAGAAAGGAGGAATGAGAAAATGGTGAGATTCGGTACGGCGTCGTTAAGATGAGGATAATGTGTGTATACATCTGTGCCAGTGATATCGGTTCTGAGCCATTATACGTCACCTAGTCTCCAACCACTGGTTCCTCTTGTTCCGTGGACCCCGATCGGTTAGTCTACATTGCCCCACATGGCTCAAACCAACAGTCAGAGCCTTCACACATAGGTGCCATGTTTCAGTCTGGCCACCTCGGACCTTTTCCAGCCTGGGCCTACTTGGGGCAACATTGTGTTACGAGGCATTACTCACGCGGTGACACCACGGAATACGGCCTATACTACGAAGGCAACGGTGGTCAAACACCTGAAGCCTTCTCATATCTTCCACCTTCAATGGCCATGTTTCACAGCCATACAGGAGAACAGACTGGACTGCTGTGCAGTATACGCGACCCTTAATAGACAAATGGATATTACGGCACCACCACAGGTGGAGTAAGTTGGCAAAAGCCAGTCAAACCGTTTGTATTCGTGCAGAGGTTTTATCGGCCACTGAGCCACAGGAGGAGGGCTGATCATACTTCCCAGGTAAGTGAAGTGGTCAACACACTCAACCATTTCACTCCCTATTGTTAGCCATGGTACCGCTGAAGACCAATTTTGGAGCAACAATTTGCATTTGGGTAGTGAGGACCGCATCCCAAACATTCTCAAATTCCCACTCAAAATGTTCAGAAGACTCTGCATCTTGTCAGAGTCTTCACTTAGCAGGACTATGTCATCTGCATATTCTAGGTCTAACGAAAATTCTCCTGCGTTTAGGTCAACTTCTGCATAACCTGGTGACGAGAGGAAGACCTCCATAAGAATGCCTATGATGAAATTGAATAAGAATGGGGACAATGGGCATACTTGACGAACATCACTCGATGAGCGTAGCTCCATGGACAACTCACCATAGGCTCTAACACGCCCACAAGTGTTCGAGTAGAGAGCCTTCAATAAGGTGATGTACTTGCTGAGCACACCTTTCAGTGAGAGACATTGTCATAAGACTTCTCAATCAATGGAGTCGAATGCCGCCTTCAGGTCGAGAAAAACAGCTAGTGTCCTGGGTCTGAACGTCAGCTGGATTTACCTGCCTTCCAGTGAGTGTTGTTCCCACCGAGATTCGGACTCGGGGACGATCGCTTGAAACGCGAGAACGTTATCCACTTCACCACCGAGCCACGTGTAGTTGACCTGAGCCATATGGGTTAGTGTAGACTACCTGGTTGAGGTCCCCGAGACTACTGGAATCGGTGGTTGAGGAGTCTGGTGATATGAATGGAAATCCGTCACAATGTCGCAGATGTATTCATTCCTTTTTTATACATCTTGAATATACACGCTAACCTTCATCTCCAGATAGTTCATTTACGGACACGTTATCTACTTTGATATCGCTCTTTTTATATACACCTGTTCTTTGCGTGCTACTGCGAAGTGTGGCAACCTGAGCCGATGCATCTGTGTGCTAGATTCTACATTGATATTGTCAATCATTAGCAGCAAGTAGTTTATCTGTAACCTGTATATATCGGTGTGTATTTTAAGTGGGAAATGCTCAACGTATTTTTGCTTGTGTATCATTGCTATTACGCTGTTAATTAAAATTTTATTCTACTCAAATAGATAATCGGTAAGTGTATGAATATTAGGGTGTAAAATGCACCATCCGCTCCTTGCTTCTATGGCACGTTCGTCTTTAAGTTTTCGGGAATTAGATCAGTCTATGCCCCCTGCTAAAGTTCACGCATTTACTGCAGTTTCATATCCATGCGTGAGGTTTATGTGGTTTACTCAGTTGGCCAGTCTTTGTGGTGACCGTTCTGTTCTTGGATGTTGGCAGCTTTACCTAAAAAATGTGAAACACTTTTTGTAGTAATTCATCCAGTTCCCATCGTTTATTACCGTAAACGTTTGTTTCGAAGAAATAATTTTGAAAGTTCTCTTCCTTATTGTGATTGTGCTCCATTTCTCTTTAAATGATCATAACGGTGGCAGGATTGAAATGTTTTCGGTTAGTATACTGGCGTATTTGGCAGTAAACAATATACTAACAGTCTTCATGTAGAATGGCACTAGACTTCATGCTGCTTAGTAATGTATCCAAGATATATGTTACCATCAATAATGCGTGTAAAGTATGAGTGGAATTAGTCGTTTTCAAAAAGTCAACCAGTGAGAGACAAAAATAGTGGTGCGTAACCGCTTTAGAAATTTGGTTGACTTGTTCCTAAGGTTTCTGCTTTTGAATGTGGCAGCTTGGACTGTAATGCAGCAATGACAAGCCGTTGTTGTTTTTATCTATCTGCTTGTGATCCAGTGACTAGAGTAAACATTCAGCTAAGTGGTTTGTGTGAGCTTAGCTTGTAAGTGTATGGAGGTCATGTTTAGATAAGGACCAGTTCAGCAACTTAGAGACTTGAGTATACTTATTGTGAAATGCCTTGGTATCATATGTTTTGTGATTGGAGCAGTCAGAAACGTATAATCAATAATGCAGACTAACCTCGATTGTTACTTTCGAACTAGGTGCTTTATTCAGATTAGTTCTCAGCATGTTAGGGGGCTAAACCAGTTGTAAAACACAGCCCGACTTATAGTCTAAGAACTTCAACCACAACTGATTGATGAGGACTAAATGGATGGAAAAGTCCTTGATTTGTGCAGTTAATGTTTGAATATTAGTGAAATTATTGTTGAGTGAGACAAGTAACCTTTCATTTTCAAACCAGGCCTGGAGAGTGCCAAATGGAATGTTTTGAGCAACGATTTATTTGACCTCCAGTTATCTTTGCAGTTACAGTCTGAACATAACACTGATATTGCCTTAGAAAACTATCGAAGTTAAGAATTCCATGACAAAGTTGGTAAGCCCAGCAGGTCTGGATAAACTGCTTACGTAAAGTTTCCAGTATAGTTGTTTGTAATTTACGAGCGTGACTAAGTTGTCAGTCAAGATATGGGGTGCAGGCATGATCATTTTGACTAGTTCCTACTTGTAAACAAAAGAAAGTTCTTTACGTGGTAACTGTGAGAATGAATCTGTTACAAAACTATTCGAGAATTATTTAGAACGATGAATAGGGAATACTAAGAAGTATTTTAATTTGGTTGTAGGTATGTCAATGAGGTCTTTAAATTCCTGTCAACGCTTGCTAAGGAAGAGTACTAATTTGTTTGTATTTTTTGGTGTGGATGCAAAATTCAAAGCATTAAACAGGTATCACTTTTGTTTTCTATCACCGTAGGAAGCATTCTTAAATCTACACTGCTAAACGGACTGTACATATTCAGCTTTGACCATATGAAATAATGTGTAATCATGTAATGCGTTTAGTGTCAAGAAGTGACTGTCAGGAATTTCTGCGCTCTGGTTGGAATTTTCCAACTGTTCTTGCAAGCGATCGTTCGATAAGGTCAACGCATACGAAAGTTTTGTTAAGTGAGAACGTTGAAAATATCTCTTTGACAACTGATAATTTCCTGCCTATACAACGATGCTGCAAGACTAGTCTACACATGGTTTAGCAATACAGGCCGAATTATCTAAGCATGTTGGCTTTAGGCCGCAGTGGTAGTCCTGTGGGTCCGGGTGATTTGATGACCAACAAGATGGTGACATGCAAAACTTACCTTTCTACTTGTTGATCATATAGGATTCACCGTATGGGTTTCATATTTTTTGTTTAGGTTAGATAAATTTCAGAAGCAGATTGTGTCAGCCTGACTGAATGACACTAGAATCATTGATCACATCGGTAGTCTAATACTTAGGTTTAACCTAATACTCATAAACTAGCTTACAGATATGGAATACTGTCGCATTTCATCAAGAGTCCAACTGATACATTTGAACTATATTCGTTTCAACTTAGAGGTATTATCACCATTTGACCCACTTAGGCATTGTGTTGTTGGTTTCTGTGTCTTCTGATTCATCAGTGGTATGCAATAAAACTTTTATCATCGATTCGGGCACATACTCTTTTGTGTGCAGCTTTTGCGGTAAGTATCAATACTTTTTCGAGTAAGAAGATAAAACAGTCGAAAGTTAGTGCAGGAGCTTGTGAATAATTTGATAGGCAATGAGACGAAGAAGTAATTGATTGGAGTATATTTGTGGACAAACCTTTAAACTGTCAAGACTGTAGCACGTCAACAATCTTCTAAGTTATCTTTTCGCCTCCATTTTGTCTGAGACGATCCATTTATTTGTAAATAAGCCAACCAACTGTGTAAATGCACTGAAATCAAAACTACCTGTTATATAAATTTCTAACATTAAATAGAATTCATCTGACCTATGTTTTTTTAATCTCTTACTAGTACATTAAAGAGTTTACAATCAGTTTATGACATTCTTACAGTTAGTATGAAAATCAGCATAATCGTTTCTTAAGGCTCCGTATTCCTCAACGGTCGAGTAAAAAAGAAAATCTGAACTGGAAACAATTCACTGTGTTTGTTTGATGAAATTCTAATGGAATTATTTGTCTTGGTATATGTGTATTTAGGTGATAAATGATTCATAATCCTTTTTAAGCAGTAAATGTATAGTTGGCATGAAATTAAATTTGGGCATAATATGTTTCTTTTGTACTAGGAAACAATACATTGGCGTTTCAAGTGTAACTCATAGGTTTTATTTTGTAATGATGGTTCAGAGATGCATCTTTTTATATTCCAAATTTTTGGTGTCAAACTGGTTTCTGTTGTCATTTTTCAGAAGTTTTGTTGTAACCTTATTCCTTTAAAGAATGTCAAGAATCGTTTCAGTACCTTCTATATATAATAATTTTACACATCAACAAATACTTTCATGATTTAAGGTGTGTGCAGTGTGTTATGAGAATTTCGAAGTAGTTTGGGATCATGAAGAAGAGGAATGGATGCTACAAGATGCTATTCGAGTTGACGATAAAGCCTATCATCCTATATGTCAAGAAGATGCCGGAAAAGAATTTTCTATTAAAGATGTAAGTTGAAGTTTTATGTACTTAATTTAATTATATTTTGTAATACATATCAGTATCTTCTACTAACGGCATTGTGATTACGACAAAGAAGACTACTTTCCTACTCAGAAAAATAATTGTGTGAAATTAAGCTTAGGGAGAGATGGACTTTATCCAGTCCTTAAAAGTGTTTTGCTAGAAGAACTTAGAAAGGATGTATTATTTATCGTCTCGGATTTAGTGTCTCTCACCTCATGTTGTAGGTCATCGGGATTTCATAGACGTAGTCCTCCCAAAAATGAATATATTTGTTAAATCCTAATTAAGTAGAAAAATAAGTTTCTTCAGAGATCCTCTGAAGAAGCTGTTGCCATCAAGTCTCAAAACGTTAGAGATATATTTTTCTAGTTGTTATTCATCGAAGACTGACATCAGTTGGAGGAACAAAGGAAACCTGGGAGCACTGGACAGCTGTTTCGTCCTAGTATGGGACTCCTCAGCAGTGCGCACCCACGACCCCACCAGCAGGGACCGAACGCGCGACCTTCAGGTTGCGCGGCCAGCACGTTACCATTGAGCCACTGGGTCAGAATCCAATGCTCCATATTTCCAACTTCTGTTAGCTGACGATATAGCGCAAACCGCCACCCAATGTCATCGTTGAGTATTTGTCCTGATGGCCATCAGGCTTTGACTCCACCGGTCACGACTTGTGATTGGAACTTCGGGAATACTTCTCAAAGCTAGTCACCAATGAGCACCAGTTCAATTAAATTTTTTGAGGGGGTTGTGGAGATTTGGAAATATTTCAAGTTGTTATTCATCGAAGACTGTCAGTCTGACATTGTGTAATCAGACTTTTCGTGTTAAAACCTTGTCAAAAGTCATCTGTAGATTAGTGTCAAACTTCTCAACAACTTTTCACTTGTAATTTTTCAAACAACGGAGAAGCTTGTTCAGTCGGAAGAAGGGAAATCAAAAGGTATTTCACTGAAGGCGAATTTATTTTTGAATGGACATTTTCGGGGTTGTACATTCTTTTACGTAGTCAGAACATATTTATTATTGATTGATAAACCACCACAAAGGTATTGTAAATGTTTGAGAGGAGACTAGAGAATCATTTCTGGAATCAAAGAAGCATACAGTTAATTAAACGTGCTAAAGATGTTTAGTACTCTGAAAAGACGAAGCTAATATATGCGATCTGTAATGAGTAATGAAAAACCACTATGTTGTGTAGAGAGAAGAAAGCAAATGGAAACCGTGGTGAAGGTGGAAGAAATTATTGATGTTGGATGCGAGAAATTAGATTCGTTACTCTAATGTGCCAATGTTGTCAGTGTAGCGCTGTTGTCCTTTGGTCTAGGTACTTGGTTTCCAACCGAAAGGTCACTAGTTTGAATCCAGCTCTACCTATCAAGGTCTAGACAGTCGGGCAACTATTATTAGTCCCCATACAATAGCTGTGGCTCATCGCCTACTTCATGAATGTTCACAAGGTTGTTTAGTGGATTCCTATTTTTTGGCGATTGCGTTGTCGGTGAATTTAGTATGCATAAGTGGTGAGCCAATCATTTTAACTCTGTCAGTAATTTCGAAATATAAGTGACTAAGTACTCCGTAGTTAAGCTGTTGATTGATTTGTATTTTCTCGTGAGATTCATCTCATCTAAATAGTCACCTTAATATAGGCAGATAAAGACTGTTGTGGTACAGATTAACCACTTTCCTTTCATATATCAATTAGAGATTCAGAGAAAGATGAAGGATAAATGCATCCTTGTTTTGTGATTTATTCTGAACCATAGCAATTTTTATGTTATTGTCTCATAGACCGACAGCAAGAAACCTGTATTCACATGGGTAACGAAATCTGTGGATGAGCATGCGTAGTTCTCGTGTACTCATTTTATTAGAGAATATATCATGACTGATTTTACCGTAACTAACTATTGAGTATTTACATGCACTTTAGGAAAAAAAGCTCCCGTCACCTACAGCCGTTGAAAATACTCCGGACACAACTTCTCCATCTGAGAATATCAAAGAAGATCCAGGCGATGAAAACGCATTTACTTGTGATGATTTTTCAACGAATACAGCTATTCCTGGTCTTTCACCGTCTACATCTCCATCACAATCTGACACAGAAATGCTGATTAAAACAGAACCTGAATGTGAATTCAGTTCCCCAGTGAAAACTGAATCGATTTTGTCCAATACAACAATCAGTGCAGATCCTTTGGCTGCATTAAAAGCTGTCTTGAAGGGTGATATATCTTCACTTAGCTTACAACCTCACTGACAATTCAGCTATTTACTCATTATTCTATTATGTACATAATAATACTACAGATTTATGCTCATATGCTTGTGTGTATGAGTTCATATGGTTTAACGTGTAAATAATTTAATAAAGTACATTATTCTCATAATGTGGTTGAAAACAGTCTATTAAATACACGGTTTCTAAGCATATGCAGCTCGTCTTTGTTTATTATTAATAGTAGTATGTGGTAAGATAAAGGTTAGAAAAGAGCTACATCGAAACTGAATATTCATCCATTTTTCCGGAATGAGGAGCTAGAAAAGCGAAGATACATTTGTACTAATATTAAAAAAGGACTAATAGAGAAGACAATAAAAGTGGTACAGCAATATAAAGGCGTGATCGTGTACGTTGGGAGAAGCCAGCAGGAAGTACTGTTTGACCTAAGTCTGTCACTTATTTGGATCGGTCTGTCTGTATAGTTTCGAGTCATGAAAGATATGGTTCGATATTTGATTCAATTATCCTGAGACCACATTTACTGTTTAAGCTGACCGTTTTTAACATGCTACATCTTGATGCAAATCGGACAGCACAGTTCATCTAAAACTATAAAATCTGCCTGCGTTTTAGGTAACCGTGTTTGATATGGTAATGAAGTGCTTCGAATAATTACTAAATCAGTCAGCTCGAAAAGTTGGTTTATTATGCCTTTATTTAGAGGCCGTGCAGTGATAGAATCCGATAGTGTTTGTGTCAGATTCACGCTAACTGCTAAATCTGAGACTTGCATAGTTATTTGTATGCAGCTAAGCCGGATGGTTCCATTAGTGTAAGGATTAACGGGAAAAAGAAACTATGTACCTGAGGTTGAGGTCTATAATCACGTAGGTGACCTAAGCCAACTGCACTTGACGGGTACTGTAGTGTTATCTGGGTACTTCTAGGTTTAGAGGGAGCATGTTTAGGTGATGGATGGAGGGTAGTGCCTCTCGGATTGGATAGTGGAAATTCTCCTCTCCAGCTTTGCATAGGTCACAATCTTGTAACCGGCAACAGAGCCGTTGCTATGATGCTACCTGGCATCATCTCAAGCCTGAACTTGATAAGACAATATTGCATTGAATTCAAATGACATCAGCGTAGTTAGGACTGTCCTTCTTTCTGGAGCTCCTGTCCGAACTTATCTCGTGGTAGCGTCTACTAAGTTTGTCTTCCTCTTCGATGGTTATCAAATCGTCGTCCTAGACGGGTTGACGTAAGAACATTGTCGCACACAGCATTGTCACTGAATATCAAATCAAGCTAAATTCGTTTCTAGCTGTTGAACTTCCAGAAGTTATAGCTGAGCACTGGCTGTACTTTGAAGTCGCCATGAAGATGACCGTTGAGGCCACTTCTATACATATCCCGTTAATAAACCATAGATTTCTCTGGTTCCTTGCAACTTTTTGACGCTCATCCATTGATTCCAGTAGCCACTGTGTACAGTGGTGTGTAAGTTTCTTGCGTAAAAGATGATATAGTATTTATGTAAAGGTTGCAAGGTCTAGTGCTCAAAACGCATGGCTGAGTCGGAATCAGTATTTGCATCTATGAGTAGTTGCAAGCTGTTTTAACTGATTCGAGCCATCGGCAGCAAGCAGCTTGGCTTCAGTGAAACAGTCTGTAAAGCAGATAGTAGACCAACCAAAAGTCTACAAGAATAGAATGGACGCTGAGTAGGACACTCCAAAAAGCAATTTAGCAGTTCTATTGCTCTGTTAACTTCAGTTTCTTCTGCTCCATAGTTTGTCAAGACAAACTTGCTTAAATAAATTGAGATCTAAAAGGAACTGCAAGTACTGAAACGTCTTAAGACACTCAACTCAAGCATTCTAAAGGCTCTTTCAAAGGGTAGTTATTTGGATGTAGACGATACTGACTAAATCGTTTGAGTGGGTATGATTCGTGAAGAGCAAGCTGGGTTTCTTTCAGGTAATGGATGTGTGAATACGCGACAGTCGTTTTGCTGTGCTACAAAATAAAATCTACTCAAGTGGCATTCAGTCAGTAAGTGGTCATTGTCCGTAAGCTGAACATGTGCTTCACCTCATGAAAGAGCGCTTTGTTTCTACAAAAATGGCAGGAGCCTATACATGAATACACCACTGGTAATGAGTTGTAAGATGTTGCCGAGAAGTTTGTTTACCCGGGTAGTTTTATGAGTTCCAGTGGTGTGGCTGGTGAAACTTTCAGCCATTTACCGAAAGCCAGAGTGGCATACACTAATCTGGCTAACCTTTGGCACCGTCATGACATTAATCGGACTGTAAAATGTCAGTTATGTTACGCGTTGGTGAAGGCAGTTTTCTTCTTCTGTGCAAACTGGGCTTTCTGAGCCGAGGATGTCTAAAGACTCTTTGAATTCGATCATCACCGTCTCAGTAGGATTATCAGCATTCACTGGAACCTCCATGTAAGTAATTCTGAGGTAAGGCAGTGTGATACAGTTTGTCCTTTATTCGGTGATTTCATTTTGAAACACCAGCTTCATTAACTTTGGTGTATCACGAATTTTATCACACAGGCTTCCACATCGTTTGCTTTTATCTTGTCCAGGGATTAGTTGGAAGAAATAGAAAGGTAGTCAGGATAGTTGTATGGGAATAGCGTCTATTGGTGCTTCATAACTCGGTTGACGGATGTAAGAGATCGATCACATAGCTGGCTAGCTTAAGATGACATTAATTACGTCTTAGCATCAAAACTACTGGCAACCATGGTGGAGTCTTCTTGTATCCTCTATTCGTGAAAAGTAACAAAAATATGTTGAAAGTTTTTTTTGGTGTGTTATGGAACCGATTATTTAATCATCCCTATCTTTTTCTATCTGTTTTCGTGTTTTAGTTTCCTAGTTTTGTTGTATCGTAGTGTGTGGTACATTTCTCCTTTTTCATATCCTACTGAGTTTGTATCTTAAAGGATAAATACGTTATATTCAGCTATATCGAGGCATCCGCATAGGAGCCCATCTGCCGATAGAGGTCGAGTAATTTAGTCTTATGTAGCAACGGGAAACTACAAGTTTCATAACAATCGGAATAAAATAAAGATGTTTTGACTCACCAGAAAGTTGTATTTGAAATCTTAAGAGAATTCATGCTTCACACTCACACTATGTTTGCTGTAGTAACCACACTTATTCAGATATGAAATACTTCAGAAGATAAAGAAAGGAAAGTCTTTGCCTTATGAAGGCTTGTCCAGGTTACATAATCTTTTGAGATTCTGTTATATTGACCTCCAACAGGAAGCTAATAGTTCAACACAGCTTAGTTCAGCTGTAACTTTGGTTGATTACCACATATTTTTCTGACTAATCTGGTTCGAATCCTGCTGTGGCCAAATTATCATTACCCCGAAAAGAGTAATTGTTTGTAGCTACCATAAGTTCGAAAATGAATGTGCTGACTAACTTCAACTAATAGATTTGGAAATGATGGGAAGCCTCTACATATGTATGCTACTTTTTGGTGCTTATCGACAAGATGTGTATTTCAGATGTCAAGCAGTTTGATACTGCAACAGGTTTTTTTCCAACAGTAGAAATAGTCTTACGCAAAATGAGGAACGGACAACTAACTCAGTTAAATTGACATTCAGATTTCAACTATGGTGAACGAGGTCTGAGAATGAATAAAAATAACAGCAACCTGCAATACTGTTGAAAAAACACTCGCAGGGTTCTAAGTACTCCCTCATCTGTATGTTCATGAAGTCTCCTAAACTGACGATGAAAAGTTCAAGAACAAACATCAAACTTCGCGGAAAGTCGAGTAGTTATCATCCTCATACTATCATACTATCAGTATATGATTGCTAGATTTAAATAAATGTAGATTGTACTGATTCACTTCGTTTCCATTTCTGTTAGATAGATACTAACTGCATACTAAATGGTTATCAATACCTCCACTTATAGATTTATCATGACAATGATAACTTGCCAAAGTACTGAAGTCTTATCGAAGAGTTCTGATAAATACTATAATCGATCAATGACCTTAAAAGCTAACTGAAATTCTAGGGAGCAGATTCCAAAAAATGTTGTATGAGTAGTCATTCAAAATCAATAGGATAAATTTTTTATTACCTATAAGTCTACTTCTTATCACACTCATTGAAACAATGTCAAAACACCAGACCGGTAACCCAGAAGCCACTTGTTTGAATCCTGTTACAACCGGTTTGTTTGAATATTTCACCTTCAGTCATCACTCTGTATCAATGTCAAATTTATTAGTGAAGGGGTTGGGGGTTAATCTAATGGTTCTTAAATACTTTATAAGTGGAAATGATAATGCTTTAGTCAAACAGTTGACATTTGGAATTAGTTATTCAATTGTTATTCTATTTTAAACAGTAATGTTGACTGTTATTTATTAATACGTGTAATTTCAAGTTATTCTGGATTGAACTGATTGACATACGTTGGCATACAAGCTCTGATGAGTATGTCTCGATATTGCCTGATTATTCGTCATGTTGTAATTTGCTTGGTGATAGCTAGAGGTAGGATCCAGGACTCGTGTTTTATCCCATTTAGGTCTCTGCAGCTGGATGCAACTGTACGTCAGTGAGTTATGTCGTTCCCACTGAAACCCAAACGCAACACTCATTGCTGCAAACACCAAAGGGTTGTCCATTAGGCCAGTGAGCAAAGAGGGCTACCTCTTGTTCAACGAGTATCAGTTATTATTGATTGATACTCGTAATTTCCCTTAAGAAGTGGCCGAATGGATAACACTGACGTTTGACGCCGATGGGTACTGCGTTTGAGTTTCAGTAGAGACAATATTAATCACTAAGATGTAAGTAAATTCAGATTACGAGTCACAAATACGATAAAATACGTGTCCTGGATTCCACTCCTAGCTGCTGTCAACCAAGTTGCGGTAAACTGAGTGTTAATGGACTGTTGGTAGCCTGTTACTGTGAATATGGTGTTTGGTATAATTCAGGAGATAGAAAATCTTCTGTGTGAAAGTGATATTCATCCTTTTCTCATAATTCCCCTATATTTTGTTCATAATTTTATTTTATATACATGTGATTAATTATTTTACATTATGATCATATTTGATAATGTTAAGTATGCTAAGTATAGCTCTCTAATTTTTTGGAATTTCCTTATTATTCTCTTTCAGTAGTTTCTGATAGGATT